GGGGGAGTGTATGGCTGAGGAATCGATACCTCAGTGCAAAAATCCTGGGCTAAATTCCTCAGTACCACCAAAAAACCCAAACAAACAAAAACAAAATAAAACAAAAAAACTCTAATAAGACGAAACTAATAGATTTCTTCCCTATAGTGTTTAGGCCCCATCCCCTTAACAGATTTATCAAGAACTGAGCCAAGAGTAAATTGCCTTGGTTTCTTTATCTCTGGGTTTTTTCCTTAACAGGTTCAGCAGTCCATTTCTGAAAGCTGTGTCAGAAAAGCAGGCCCCAGGGTACAACGATGTGGTGAAAAGGTCAGTAGAAAGTGGTCAAGAGGTTTTGGCCACTTTCGCATCTGTGTTTTAATATTTTATTTCCCATCTATTAGATTATTTATATTATGTACAAACTTTACAAGTTTATAAAGTTACGGTAAGCTCTGTCTTCATTTGAGAAGTAATGTAGGGAACAAAAGGATGATTCAGGCTACTTATTTATTTTTTAATATTGACCTTTAAAATAATATGATTCATTCATTATACTCTTAAATTAGCCTTTGTTAGTTTTGGACACTATTCTTTCTTGTTTTTGTGTTTTGTTTTTTTATAATTGGGGATTGAACTCAGGAACCTTATATTGAGCTACACCCAGCCAATTTTTTATTTTGAAACATAGTCTCACAAATTTGGTAAATTACCCTGGCTGGGCTCAAATTTGGGATCCCCCTGCAGCCCCCAAGAGTGCTGGGATTATAGGCATGAACCACCACATCTAGTTTTGACACTATTCTTTTGGAGCATAATTTTTAAAATATCTAAAGTGCCCCCGCTCCATAAAATAAAATGTCCCCCAAAGGTCTCATGTATTCAGAGGTGGGGTGTTTGGAAGGTGATTGGATCATAAGGGCACTGTATATAGCTGAATGTGCTGTTAGGGTGTGGGCTTGGGTGAAAGAAATGTGCCCCTGGGAGCTGATCTTTTGAAAAGGGTATATATTCCTCTTTCACTCCTCCCTTCTCTTTACTTCTGGCTGCCATGAGATGAGCAGCTTTCTTCTGCCATGGCCTTTTACCATGCTGTTTGTGCCTTGGAGCCAGCCTACTGTGGGCTGAATACCCCCAAAACCATGAGCCAAGTTAGTGTTAAAGTTGTCGTGGGTATTTAGTTTCAATGACAGAAAAGTGCCTAATATGAAAAGGAACCCTGTATTAGCCTATATTCAGCATTGGATGAGTGCAGTGTTGGGGGTATGGTGAGACAGGGTCTCACTCTGTAATTCAGGCTGGCTTTGAACTCACTATGCAGCTCAGGCTGGCCTCAAACTTGCAGCAGTTCTCCTGCATCAGCCTCCTGAGTGCTGGGATTACCGGCATGTGCAACCATATCCTGTGAGTGCAGTATTTTGGATTTTAATAGCATAGTTCATCTAAAAGGATGTCAAAACCAGGCATGGTGCCACACACTTGTAATCCTAGCACTTGGGAAGCAGAGGCAGGAGTTCCACCTCAAGTTTGAGGCCAGCCTGGACTACACAGTGAAACCCTGGCACAAAAAAATTAATATAATACACTAAAATTAAATAAACAAAATGTCATAAAGCAATGTGGTAGTAGAATATAAAAAGTCATGATAGGATCTTTGGAGACTGTATTAGTCTGTGCTGCTATAAGAAAATACTACAGACTGGGTTTTATAAATAATAGAAACTTACTTCACATGGTTCTGAAGGCTGGGAAGTCAACAAAGTGTCGGTAGATTGGTGTCTGGTAAGGGCTCCTCTCTACCTGCAAGACAGCATCTTCACAGAGGGAAAGTGACAGAAGGGCCAAGGGTGCTTCCTTTAGTCTCAAACCCTTTTACGAGGATACTCAATCCTATTGAGAGCAGAGCCCTTGTGATTCAAACCACCTCACAAAGGCCACACCTCTTAATACTGGAGATTAAGTTTTAACATGAGTTTGGGAGGGGACACCGTCATTCAGACTAGCAGAGATGAACTTCTTCATTCTATAAATGAGGAAAGTAAAATTTTGGGATAGTTACAACTTGCCTGTGATCAGCCAACAGTTAATAGCAGAACTAGAACTAAACCTTAGGTGCTTCTAATTCAGTCCTCTATCTACACTGCTCTGCCTACTCTTATATACCTATTTTGTTGTCTCATCAAATAACTATTTATTTATTTTAACATTCACTATATTCAGCTGGGTGTGGTGGTGCACACCTGTAATCCCAGAACTCGGAAGGCTCAGGCAGGAGGATCACCACAAGTTCAAGGCCAGCCTCAACTACACAATGAGACCCTGTCTCAAAAAAAACAAAAAACTCGTTATATACATACACTTCATTTCCATGAAGTGGAGCTTAGCTTTTAATTTGTATAAGAGAAATAGATTAAATACCTAACATATGACCATATTATAAATAGCAGGTAATTACTATGTAACAAACTGATACCTTACAATGTTATACCTGGGGCCAGCACTAATCCTGCAATACTGGAGAGGCTTGGCTTATGGGCCTTGGAGTTAGGCTGCCTCTGAATTGGAATCTAGGCTGTGTGTGCCTTTGGGCAAGTGCTACTTCACCTCTTTAAATCTCAGCTCCAGGCTGGGGATATAGCTCAGCGGTACAAGCGCCTGCTTGGCAAGCACAAGGTCCCAAGTTCGATTCCCAGTACCAAAAAAAAACAAAAAACAAAAAACAAAAACAACTCAGTTCCCTCATCTGACAAATGGAGATAATAATAATACCTATCCTTACTTGATTAGAAAATTTCTTTTTGTTTTTACAGTACTGGGAATTGAACTCAGGGCCTCACTCTAGGCAAGCACTGTTCTGTTGAGCCATATCCCCAGTTTTTTGTTTTTATTTTTTGAGGCAAGGTCTCACTCTGATGCCAAGTGTAGCCTTGAATTTGTGATCTTCTCACCTTAGCTTCCCAAGTAGCTGAGATTACAAAAGTACACCACTGAGCCTGGAGCCCTCTCCTTACTCACGAGGCTGAGGCATGTAGATCTAGAGTTCCAGGCTAGCCTGGGCAATATAGCAAGATTCTATCTCTTAATAACAACAACAGCAATAATAATAACTACCTTAAAAGTGTATTGAGAGGATTAAAAGAGTGGCTACTCTTTTATTATTTGAAAAAGGCTACTATCTTTAGTAACTAGTTTTATTAAGAGCCAGATAATTTCTTCCATATTAAAGTTTGAAGCTGGACATGGTGGCACATGCCTGTAATCCCAGCACTTGGGAGGCTGAGGCAGAAGGATCATTGCTAGTTTGAGGCCGGCCTGAACTACATAGCGAGACCCTGTCTCAAAAAAAAAAAGTTTGAATTCTTGTGGCTTTTCTTAATCATCTGTAGACCCATGGACTTAACTAGCCTGAAGAGGAATCTATCTAAGGGACGGATCCGTACCATGGCGCAGTTCCTGCGAGACCTGATGCTGATGTTCCAAAATGCTGTTATGTACAATGACTCTGATCATCATGTGTATCACATGGCTGTGGAGATGCAGCGGGAAGTCTTGGAGCAGATTCAGGTATCACAAAGAGCCCAAGCAGGGGCTGGGGATTTAGCTCAGCGGCACAGCGCCTGCCTGGCAAGCGTGGGGTCGTGAGTTCAATTCCCGGTACCGGAAAACAAACAAACAAACAAGCAAACAAACAAAAAAAGAGCCCCAAGCAAAGCGGGGAGGTAGCCTGTGGAACTTGACTTTGTAAAGTCTTTGAAAGTAAGAGTGGTAAGGCTGGGGATATAGCTCAGTGGCACAAGCACCTGCCTGGCAAGCACAAGGTCCTGAGTTGGGTTCCCAGTACCAAAAAAATAAACAAACAAATAAATAAAGTCTACTTAAAAAAAAAAAGAAAAGAAGGTTGATGCTGTCACCTTGGATTCCTAGAGTTTATTTTCAGACCTTAAGGACTTGTACTTACTGGTTTAGAAAACACTGAAGCTCAGTGGGTCCAGTTTTAACACAGTGAGGTAGACTAGGAAAGCAAGTGGCAAGAGAGCTGGGAATGGACAAGTAATGGGAACTTCTGTTTCTAGAGCCTCAAATTGAAGGCCCCAAAATACAAACCAGAGGCTGCAGTCACAGTCCATTTTGCAGTTACTAGGTCTGCTGGTATTGATGTACACTCACACTTTCCCACCTTTAGGGGATAAGACGTGTAGTAGCTTCAAAGAAACTTTTTTTTTTTTTTTTTGAGAAGCATCATCTTTTTTTTTTTTTTTTTTTTTTTTTTTTTTTGATTAAAAAAAAGGGTCTTGGTATGCATTTCAGGCTGGCCTTGAGCTCACTTTGTAGCCTAGGCTGGTCTCAAACTCACAATGATCCTTCTGCCTCAGCCTCCCAAGTGCTGGGATTACAGGCGTGTGCCAACACGCCTGGCTCACATCATCCTTTAAAGAAAAGTAAATTAGTGAAATCTATTTGCCAAAAAGAAATAAAATTGCAGTCAATCTTTTGTAGCCTGGAAGACTCATAGCTTGCTGTGTGTTCCTTGACAGGTGCTGAATATTTGGTTAGACAAAAGAAGAGACCTAAGTAGTCAGGAATCAGTATCAGCCAACCCAGTGGATGATGGAAATCTGTTCTGTTAACCTGGAGCTGCTGCCACGATCATTTCTGCAGTTTTTTACCTTCTCCTTGAGACTGATCAGAGAAGATCAAGGACTTGGTTACCACTTCTTAGTTGTCCTTTCTAGTAAGAGTAATGTCTTACAACCAAGGAGCTGAAAATGCCTGCGAATCTGAATATTTTTAGAGATGGTGATGTGAGGGAACTGAGATTTGGGTTTCTGCTGTTAACATTGCCCACGTTTTTTGTTCCTTAATTTAGAGGTAGATTTTACTATTGTTCTATAAATAAATATTTCATAAACCAGATCGCTTTTTAATGATTGTAGAAGCTGAGAATAGAGGGGCAGCATCATGTGTTGAAACAGGTTAGAGAGTTGACTCAGGTCTTCTTCTGCATGCTGTCTGGAAGGGGTTGAAGTAGCCCAGAAGTGTCTCTGATGTCTCATATAAAGTGATGGGGGTAATTGAAGCACCCTTCGAATAGACAGGAGCTTAGCTGGGCATGGTGGTGCACCCCTGTAATCCCAGCACTGGGGAGGT